CACAGTGATTCTGAATAATCAGCATAAAAGGAATAATATATAGTTGCCTCATTCAGCAAGCGCAACAGATCTTGGGCACTGAATGCATCAGTGTTTTTTGCGCAAGTACAGTATGTGATTGTGCAATTAAAACCTTTAGCAGTGCAGAGGCACAATTGGTTTATATAGGCTATCTAAATTCTAGCTGTATGTAACACTAAAACTCTTACCTGCACAGTAATAATATATTTTAGTGCCACGTTGTGGGGGTAATGAACTGTAATTGAAGACTGAAGATCTGTAACTGAAATGCTCACTTTCTGACTTTTTTTTTTTCCTCCAAAAGTGGTTCATTAATATGATTCCTTAAATGACATCCTCATAGAGATGATACCCAGTGTGATGGCACAGAATAGAGCTTCCGTTTTTACATTAAAATTTCTACTACTATCTCATCTTCTCAACCTTCTAAATCCTCTGTCTGGACCATCCACTGCTTGTAGGCAGTTTGATATGAAATGTAGAGATCCTTACTATAACAATTTTGTTGATACCTATTCACTTCAGGTATCATCACAATGGCTCTAGCTCCATAGTGGGACTGATCAAACTGTAGAAACATTGCTCAAAAGGGACCTCTGGAGATCTCTAGTCTAAGCTCTCACTCCAGGAAAGATTATCACCAACACCAGATCAAGTCAGCTCTGACTTTGTCTAGTCAAGTCTTGACTAGACAACATGTACGAATGGACAGTCCACCACCTCTTTGGTGTTTGATTCCTACTCACTATACTCCTAGTTATATGTTACGATTTCTACATGCTACTGAAAAACAAATTAACCCCCCTGCAAAATGGCTTAATCTTTGGGAAGGCTTAGCAGTCAAATCTACATTAAACAGAATTATTTTCATAAAGAAAATATTTGGGTTATTCTACCAGCTAGTTTAACTTTTCTCATAGTAGTCCAGGACAAATCATGGCTTTTAAAAAGTACCTTCCAACCAGAAGCTTTCTAATTTACAATAAATTCTATTGGAGAAGTATATGTCTATTCTGAGGAACATATGAGTGCTTCTAAGTCCGTGACGATGTTCTGGCCATGCTGGGATGAAACCAGATTGCATCTTTCTGTGCCTAGCTTTATATGGAAAAAAATTCCCATGGTGGCCAATGTCTGGGCTAGGCTAGAAGTCAGTTGCGGTGCGCTCCTACTCATCCCCTGATCCTCCAGATCTGGCAACCAATACTGCAAGGTGCACTGTAAAGAGCACCAAGACCCTACACCAAGTACAGTCACAGAAAACTCTTAAAGCTCAAGATTGTTCTGAAAGCAGCTAACATCTTGGTGATCCCAAGCTTCTCAAGAAGCATCTAATATCCTCATACTCCTACCCTAATCATCTATTCTGATAGTCCCTGTTCCAAGATAACAATGTGTTGCAACTACTGACGTCCAAATAGCAGCTTCTGTGCTTTGCAGCTTGCATTTCAAAATGGCTGTTCCTTTCTTTTTATAATACTAGTGTAATTAATGCTTAAGGCGCTTAACTTTTGGTTAGCGAGTACAGTCTCTAGCTGGCTCTTGAAATCGTGCTCTTAAAACCCTGGACAGTTTAGCACTGGTTTCGAAGACAAGCCAGTGTTCAATTTCTTCTGTGCAATTAACAATAACCACTGAGTTTTAGATAGCAATGGAGGTCAAAATACCTAAGTGCTATCGAAAATATTTAACCACACACAAATGGTACATATTTAAAAGGCCTCAGAGACTGGGAAGTTATGCAAACCAACCAAGCTCTCATGGTTTACTTTGCAACTGAAACATCTTAAGCAGAAATACAATCTAATTTTGTATAGGTCATACAGAAAAAAATACAGTAAGGTAATGCTAGTTGGCATTCCCTCGGACCTTACCTGAGGCTCCCGAAGTACTTGGCAAATATTAATTAGTCCATTTTATAAAGGAGGGACTTCTGTAGTTCGTACATATTTTTACAAAATGTGAACTAAGACAGAGGGTCAGCGCTGAACCAGAAACAGAAAGGCAGGATCTGGGGCCCCAGTCTTTAATCTAATTTCTAGGTAGCTCATCTTCTAATTAGATAGAGTCATGTATGTACAACAAACAGGAACTGTAATTGAGAGTACTCCAATTAAACAAATCCATTGAAAAAGTTACCTAGTATGCATATTTTCAAGGCTGGAAAAGAAAACATTCCAGGATTCTGAGGAAGCAACTGCATGAAACTTAATTTTCTTGTTGAGCTCTGAGCTGCTCAGGAACTTTGAAGTCCTGACTAGGTTTATAAGCATTTTCTAAAGGACTGGCTTCATGATGCAAAGCTAAAAAAAGAATCACCAAGGAAAGTTGACCAAAGTCTTGTAGTTTTTTAGAGCTTATCATGATTATGATGTATAAAGAAACTGAGATTAATTTCCTAGAAAGGCTATGGCACATCTTTCTTTTCAGGGTGAATTAAGAGTAGAAACAAAAATAAATGCTAAAGAACAGTAGCGATCAGTAGCCAGAAAGCTGCACTACAGCCTTCAAGTTAGCAGGCAGCTAGTTTAACCCGCACAACGTAGCTGTAGCTCTTCCTAAGCTTTTCTGTTTGGTTCGTTGGTGTGACTTTGTTACTTCCACATGTGGCCCTCTGATAGAACAATAAAGAGTGACTTATCATTGCTTTTATTGTTGTTGTTATTGCTGTTTTCACTGGACATGATATCAATTAGCACGGAAACTTCATTCAGCATTGCATACAAACAAACAAAAAACCACTTTTTGGCTGGACCAGCACGCTCATGATGCCAGGCCTGATTTAACAGAGCTTGGTGCAGGAAGGCTTGAAATTACAAAGAGAGAAAATACCTTGCCAAGCAAGGAGAAGGGAAAATAGAGCTGGTCAATCCTATGAAAAGCAGCCGGCGTAGGATATGCAAAGGCATATTTAAGCATCATCACAGTTTCACAGACTTTCTCCATGCACTCTCAACCACTGGCAGAATTTGCAAAGAGGAAGTGAATCAGTGGCTTCCCACTACTCTTCCCCCTCTCTGTTTTCAGGCAGCATCACCGTAATACCGTGTATGCTATAATGCCTCTTTGTAACATGCCCATTTACCAGGCTGCGGTTACCAAGTCTCTCTGGCAAATAAGAGAGATTTTACAAGAGGCCTTGCTGGCCAAGCTTCCATCATCAGGACCTTCTCCCACAGGAATAAGCAAACACCTTCAAAGGATTTTACACCACTTATCTTCCAGGCCCATGGTGGGGGGGAGGGAGATGAGTTAGCAGCACTTTTAAATATGTAGTTTGGAAGTTTAAAATAACCTGAAACACTGCAGAATAGGAGAAAACAAGCATGACAGTAAAACTGAGTGAATGCATGAAAAATGGAAAGCAATCTTAGTCCATGAAGAACAGGTCATGCCAGATAGCTCAGACAACTTGTGCAAAATCGCGGGATTAGTACACAAAGGGAATGCAGCAAATTAGATTTTGCAGGAACGTTACTTGTGGGCTAGTGGGTGGAAGAAGTTTCCTCAACAGATTTTTACATATCTGTTCAAACACAGAAAGTTCAGATGGTTTCCTTGAGCCTCTACTTAGTGCTACTTTACAGACAGTGTTTTGCTTTAATTTATCTAGTCTTTAATGAGACTTTTGGTACTTTACTGCCTAGAAAATTATTACTGACACTAGAAATATGGTGCCTGGTTACAAATATTGCAAAGAAGATATGAAGTTGCCAGACATATTGTAAACAGAGCATAATTACAGTATTTACTGTTGAACATCAAAATGGGAAGAGATGCCAAGTGGCATTCCACAGAGGTTAATATTGGGACTGATACCATCTAATATCTTCCCTAATAATTTGGAAAATGAAGTAAATTGTACATTGATTGAATACACAGCAGACACAAGAGGAAGATCAACTACAACACAGCAGGTGGGTAGGCTGAAAAAAACCCAAAGATCTGGAGATCTAAGAGAGAAAGAGAAGGGTGCATTTAAGAGGGAAGCTATTTAATGTAGAAAAATGTAGAATAATAAGCTCAGGGAAAATTAACACCCATCTCAAGTAACCAAATGGGAAAATGCCAATTTTCATTAAAAAAAATTTCCAAGATATTTCACAGTTTACTCACACTGAAAATTCACATTGGGGTATATGCATCAGGTTTGACAACTTGTTTGCTACATTACAGCCTGATGTAGTTTTAAAAGGAAGAATAACAGAATCACTCACAAACCTGCCTTTTAAAATAAATTTTAATTTATCTTAAATGTATACTGAGTGCTCATAAAAGGACCCAGTTTAGAGCCCTGTTAGCCAAAATAACATAGTAATGTAACGTTAGTAATGCGACACAAGAGGCACATATGAGGTTGAGGTGGGGATCAGGAAACCACAGCCAGTCTCTCTCTGATATTGTCAAGGAGTTCTAAGCTTTCACTGTACGCAGTAGAGCAAAATCCATGAAATACTGGCTTGTCACCGATTTGTTGACTTTACTTCAGAAGCTAAACTATGTCTTAAGGAAAGCAATCACTTTATAAAAGAAAGTAAGATTCTGATGGATATTAACAAAAAATAAGGCTTGAACAAACACTATTATGTTAAATGAATACTGCATATACCTTAAATGAACCTTAAATATCATCTGTAGGACTGAAACTGTCAAAAGAATCTGCAATAATGTAAACTTGGTAAGTATAAAAACATATTTTATGACCCAAATAGAAACTACAAGGACTATGTTACAGGACATCTCCTGGGTGAGCTTAAAGAACACACTATCTTTTTCCCATCTTCATTTGGTTAACAATCCCATTCCGTTAAAGTCTATTACTTCATCACATGAATGATCAACTATAACAAAACAGAAAACTTTATCAAACTGAGTATTACTTCCTCACACAGTAATCCAAATGTGGCTGATGCATATGAAATGGCTGATGTGATAGCAATCAACATTATTTTTTTATGTATGCTTAAAAACCTGCTTACCAAGGGGAGCCATATATTCTGAAACCCCTCACCGTCACTTCAGAGTCTTGAAGATAGATGCAGTTTGTTAGAAGAGACTGTACATTTTCATAGCTCTCTGGCTTCAGCTTAGAAACAGAGGGGAAATAGTAAAAGTCCTGCTTGATTAAGTCAGCCATGAATTCCTGGTCAAAGGTCAATTCATGATTTCCTGCTATCACAATCTTGTATTCATAGGGCAGGCTACCTAAAATAGTGAAAAACAAACAAATTACTTGTTTTATGGAAAACTTGATAAAAGAAAACAGACAGACTCACAAACTATTATTGATTTCTACAATACGGCCACGTCTGAAACAATTCAGCTAACCCCTACTAAGTGTGACTATAACTCCTGGTGCTTTGGGGATAAATGACATTATTGTCTTTTTCAGGGCATATTATGATTTAGCATACTCAGGATTAATGTGTTAGAACTACTTTCAACTCATCAACCTTACAGTCTCAAGACTGCTGCTCTTCTATTTACTTCTATTTAATTGCCATCTGCATTGCAAGTATCACTGACTGTGACAATGTTGATAATTTAGGATAACAAGTCTTTGGGTTCAAAGAAAACTGATCATAACGCTTAATCAAGTAAACCCAGCTCTCTTCTCTCGGACCTGTGGTAATTATCAGCTTGCACTGAGGGGGTCTACTGCCCTCTTTGCCCTGATACGAAGACTAAGCCTTCATGTAAAACAGGGACTGGGCTTATCTGTCAGACCTCCACATCCCCAAGAAAAATCTTGCAGCTTGCCTCTATCTCCCAGTTTTCCTCTGCTCCATTTTCTCAATGACTTCCTTAGATCCATGGACTATAATTACAGTGACTCACGATCAAGAACATTTCATAAGCCGTTTTTAGTGAAAAACCTTACAACAACCTTCTGGTGAGGGCAAGAATATATATGCCTACACACGTGGGTTCTCCTGAGAGCACTACTGCAAGAGAAACTTTCCACTGACTCCACATTTGGTTATCATCTGGACTCTGCCCTTGACAGCAGGGATCATCTGTCCCAAAAGCCCTATACAAACCGTCTAAATATGTCTGAGAGGAAACAAAGAGAGAAACTGTGGAAAGGTGCATTCATTAGCTTAGCTTTTGCACTATTAGCTTGTAATCAGGAAGAAAATGGTCATAACATAGGACTGTGGGGGGAAGGAAAAACTTTACTGAAAATGAGACCCACCTTGCATAGCAGTGATTTTGTCATTTTTAATTGAAAGAATGCGCTGTTTATAACATTATGCAGAGCTTTAGTGATGACCCCAAGCCTAACTCAGAGTTAGGATGTTCAGGGAATGTAAATCACCAGTCTAAATGCAGTGGTAAAAGTTGGCATAAGTTGGACTGAAGAATAAAATGCAACAGTGAGATTCAGAGCTACTGAGGAGAGACAGAACAGCTCCAGCCCATAGGAGATACCACATGGCTGAAAAATCAGTATTTGCAAAATGAAAAGGACTGGATAACTCTTAAGTGTAAGTTTCACATCTTTCAACATCTGTATTAGGAAAACTGATCTTACAGGTTCCAAGCTTTCCTGTGCAGCTAAGTGCCTTTAGCAAATTTATTAACAGAAACACTCTTTAGGTTTTCATGATTACATGGGAATGCTGGAGATTGTCATTGCAGCCTCTGAAAGGCTTAGCATTTGGTAGACTGGCACTCCATTTTCACAAGTTTTCTGAGTGCACGCACGCGCACACACACACACACACACACACACACACACAAACACACAGACGCACACGAGTTAAACATGCAGTTTACATGCTACAGTATGTACAGGCTGTTGCAGGCCTTAAAGCATCCTTGGGAAACAGGGAAAAAAATCCCGTATGCCACAATATTGTTAACAATTCCATTTCTGTTCAGTTTTATACATCTTTTCCAGCTCATCTGATCCATCCATCTAGCAGCCAAGAACCTGTATGAGCTGGTTATAGCTGTTGCTTCCACTAATGTATTTATGTCATGTTGCTGTCTGTGGGTGTTACTTAGGCAAATTAGCAAATTACTCTAAATGTACAGTTACATTTATTATAGTGGCGGCCAGAAGCACTGCTGTAGTTACAGGTCTGTCAGCTTTTCAATTAACAACTCTGTTTTTGATTAGTTTGCAGCTCAGTTTTATTCCTTTCAACCCATACCAGGCTGCAACTTGCTAAAGCTATTTCTCTCTCTTTCTCTCCTTGCCCTTTAAATTTTAATTTTTTGTCTAAGATGATGGCTAAAGCAGGTAATTTTTGCTGCTTGCACATAAATTTAACAATATTTTGTTTAATCTCTGTTCCTCAAGAGACTTATGAACATACTTCACTTTCTACACCAAGCATTCTCAGAGTGTAAAGTTAATCCTAGCTGTACATCTTTGAAACCTTGTTCTTGGCGGGGGACTGCTCTCATGATCTTTATGCACAAGACCCCTGCAGAGCGGGTGCAGACAAAGCCTCTCACCTACCAGACCGCATTATTGATTACTTTTGTTTCCAATCTTCCTTGCTTCTAGTATGATGCAGTACTAACCAATGCTCACGCTAATGCACATGTGGAAGTCAGCACTGAATGCTAAACACATCTCTCCGCCCTAAAAGCATGGTCCTCCTACCACTGAAGTTGGAGGCCCAACCTTACTGTAGCAGAAACAATATCCAAGATGATGTGTGAGCACAGCCCTGAGAAATCTTTAATGTTTCAAGCACCTTTGCAGCGACAGGACCCATCAAACATTAGCAATATTTGATGAGAATTTACCTGATAACTACCTTAGAGCAGCAACCTTCTTACCTACTTCTGACGTACAATTCCTTATATTTCATTTCTATGTATGCATGTTATTATTTAAATTATTCTGTATTCCTATATTCCATTATCCTCATGTCCTTCCACCACAAATACATGGTTTTCCAACTCTAGGCACACACTACTGCACAGTTAGCAGCCTGGGCTATATCCTTGGCTAGGTCCAAGACTCAACTAAGAGCAGACAGCCCAGAAGGTGTTCTGCGGCCAGAGTTTCTAACGTGTGGGTGCTCAGAGCTTGAGAATACCCAGTAGTCGACACCTGCCTGCTTGGCTGGTGTTGAGCAGGGTTCCAGCTTCTATGACAATGGGATCCTAT